TGTAGAAGACAAAGCTTGCCGACATGGGGGTGAGGGGTGAAGTCCGTCCGAAGGGCTGGCAGTAGATATGAGGTAATGTTTTACATAATTTGCCCAAGGCATTATGGGAAGTCTTTGACAGAAACTCACCCCCGGCAAAATGCAAAACGTGCATCACTGGCAGTCAAGTCCCAACAAGGAAAGACAATCTTTAAAAAAAAATAGTTGAGGTGAGTAAAGTAATTAGTATTAGTCATTGTGCCTTTGTAATACATTCTTTGCACTCGTAATTCTGATAAGATATTGATGATTTTGAAATAGCAATAAAGCAGAAATCCAAATTAGGAACTATTAAAAAAACTTACAGACACAAATAAATTAGTTTGTACTTTTTAGTTAGGGACAGTAATCTACAATGGTCACTGAAACAACTTTAGACTGACAAAACAAATGAGATAATTTACTGAAAATCAGCTAATAAGAATCAAAAGTTGCTTTTGAAAATGGAAAATATATATAAGCTAATGACAATGATAATAGAAAACACAGAGAATAATTTGACTATATGATATGATAAACTAACGTGCATCCTGTAATCAACGTCACATGTGTTCAGTCTGTAAAGGCTGACAAGTAGTCACAGTGCTGTTTGGCATCATGGTGTGTATCACACTGAACAGGGACCACAGGAAGCTAAGGACAGAATTGGCTCAGGAGCTCAGAAAGAAAATTAATGATAAACCTGTTCAAGTTAACGACTATAAGACAATCTCCAAGCAGTTTCATGTTCCTGTGACCACAGCTGCATAGATTATTCAAAAATGTCCACAGGGCTGAACATAACCTCCTTGAACGCAGCAACAAGAGGAAAACTGACAACAAAGGATAGAGATGGATAACACCAACCAAGAAGCCCAGAGCAACTTAAAAAGATTAGAGGTGGACTCTGAGATGACGGTACATCAGTGTCAGATCGAACCATCGGTTACTGTTTGGGCCAAAGTGGAACCAAAGAAGGAGACCAAGAATCACTTTGGAGAGCAAATCAGAAACAAGTGAAACTGGGCTTTAACAAAATGCATACTGACAAGCTACAAAGACGCTTAGAGAGTATCCAGGTTAAACAAAACTGGAGTGCTATGTTCATAAAGCCAAAAATGAAGCAAACAAACAACTAAATAAAGAAATAAAATAAACCCTTCACCTACATTGAATCTGTCTTGAATCTGTGCAATGACTCTTGTAAAGGTCCACCTGCATCGTGAAGGACTCCACTCACCCAGCACACACACTTTTTGCCCCGCTTCCCTCAGGAAGGAGGTTAAGGAGCATTAAGTGTAGAACCACTAGACTGAGGAACAGCTTCTACCCTGAAGCTGTTGGACTCATGAATCTCTAACCAGAATAATCACTGAGAAAAATCACATCATGTTGCTGCTGATCTGTTTCATGTTGATGTGTTCATGCGTGCTCATCTGCTCTCACAGACTCATGTTCATGCTGCTGTTTGGCGTATTGTTTTTATTATTTTTATGCTACGAGTGCTTAGCATATTTGTTTTTTTTATGTTTTTCTTAGTTCATATCTTAGATGTTATTACTGTTTTTCTTTTACATTTTATTGTTGGATGTAACTGGGACCCTGTGTACATAATGTTGTTCCACCACATGTACCACATGTGGTGCGACTGACAATAAAGAAACTCTGACTCTCTGACTCTTACATGTCAAAACCAGGGGTGAGCAACATTATTTTAAGGTTAAGTCTAGTTCTGGAAACCAAACAACTTAAAAAAAATAAGTTTAAGCCTATCTTAGGATAAAGGTTTCTGATGTGTTTGTCCAAAAGGTTTAATTTAAACTTATTTATCACTGATAAAATGCAGGTTTTCATCACCTTTTTTGCAAGTTGTTGCGTTATTTTCAATTGAGAATTTTGAGGGCCAGATGGAGATTGTCCAAGGGCCACTTTTAGTCCTCGGACCATGTATTGCCTGTGTCTGGTCAGGACTATCAAGGCCTTTTGAGGTAAAATGTGCGGCCCAGTGTTCAAAAATCACACGTCATGAGTTTGCCACAGGATAACGACCCAAATCACACAGATTAAAAACCCCGAGACAATGGACTGGGTTGAAGTGGTCTTCTGAAACTGATCCAGAAGACATGATTTAACCTTTTTCTGTTTTCATTTGTATTTTTTCCATGATTTTGTTGAATCAATTCAAAAGCCATGAATGTTCTCGTTCTGTTTGTTTCAAGTTATTACTGTGACTTTCAGGGGTTTTTCCTCCCTTTAACACAAAAGTGCTAACAAATTCATCCATGCACTTACATGTTTATCACTGCTTTGCTTTGCCACCAACTTCCCTCACGTCTCACCTTTACATGCACACACACACACACAAACAAATAACAATGCATATTTTTGAAAGCCTTGTGGGATGATGTACCTCTGGTGCCAGAAGCTGTCATTAAAATCATTCAAATGAACCAACCTGAGTACACATAGCTATGAAAAAATAATCTAAACGGGTCAGCCAAAACCTGCCACCAACCTGTCCAATCGCGCCCATGCAAATGTCCCCAGCTAAAGAGTCAAAGGGTTCTAGGTTTCCTGTTTGACCCACTATGGGGGTATTTGCATACACTGGTTCTCCTCTCCTGATTTGGTGTCAGATAACAATTTGTAGTTTTGAAATTATAACCCTCGAGGGAAAACTAAGAGCTACTTTTAAAACTAAATTCATATCCCCAGTTGCTTTTTATGATAAGAGTTTTAGAATAAGATCATGTTTAGAAATGATGGAACTGAAGCCAGTTTGGTCAAATCTTAACCTCATGATCTCACTGGAGATCGAGCGAGGCTCTTAGCTATGACCACACCACACTTTGTCTCAACATCTGTAAATGTGACTGATTTACACCCATTTCGTGTCAACTAAGTTCAGCTAGCTGTAGCAGCCACCTTGAACTGGGTCGACACCAAAAGTTAATCAGTTCTGAAAGCTTCATTAAAACGTGTTCAGCGGTTCACGAGATATTATGCTAACAGAAAATCAGGGGTGGTGCCAACGGTTAATGCCCATCTTTAAACAAAGATTTCAAGTAATGTATGCCATTTGTAGAAAGTGTTAAGAGTTGACTCTCAGCTTCTACCACACGAAATTTTAACTTAATATCTGTAATATTAGTTGAGATACAGCCAATTTTGTGTTCTCTATAATCAGTTGGCTGCATCAGACATTTTTATATGGAGTTGACTCCAAAGGTCAAATGCATGTAGACATACATCCAGTGATCACTTCCTGAGAGTTTCATTAAGCCCCACCAAGTAGGTCATGAGATATTTTACTAACAGACAGACACCCATCATTCATATACATTTTTTACTCTTGGCCACTTTATTTAACCCTTTTTTATGTGGGGCATTTAGTATTACAGACTTGCACAGCTACTATATAATTAGACATTTGACTAGATTAGAAATACCCCCTCCTCGAGGCTATGACAAATAAAAATGCACAGGTGCATGGAGGAACTGAAGCATAGACTGGATCCAAGCAATCATCTGACCCATTAAATCATGGACCTCTGATTACATTTATTGGCAATTAAAGTGGCATATTGAGGCTTTATAACTAATATCCAGTTTTACAATTGTACTATTTAAGTAATATTTATATTATCCTGTCTAAATGTATGTTGTTTTCATCAAATGGTGACATTTTGTCCATGGAAGCATGTGCATGGGTCTTTTGTCGGCCAGCTATTATGAAAAGTTTCCTGGGACAATAGGCTGTTCCAGGGTGATGGTAATTACAAGTGACCAGGACAATAAGGTCTAGAATGGAGGAACTAATTCAATGAGAAGACACATTTATGCAAATAAAGAATTAACCACCCCCCTCAATGCTTGAGCAAGAGGGAAATGAGAATTCAACCAAAACAAAACAACCATAACACTCAATGTTGCTCTTGAGGAAAAAAAAAAAAAACACCGGAGAATAAAACTCAAGTTATGAAAAAGTATTATTTTATTCCTCATCTCTCAAAGCTGAAAAACAGGCTCAACTTGCTCCACGTTGGGATGTGGATTATTTGCATTAATGAACTTAAAAATAAACTTTAGGGGGACGGACGATAAAGGCAGTAAAGTACTCTTTAAAGTCAGTTAACCTATGAGTTACACGCGCAATAAATTCCCACAAATGGTTTTATTGCTACTGTTTTTCTTTAACTTTGTTTATGTAGGCCAGCACAGAGCGCGCTTCGTCGCGGGACGATAAGACGAGGTTTTGTTGCGAGTTTTTATCACAAGGAAACATCTGCAACACCAGTGGGCACTCCGAGAACAGGTGGCCCGACGCTGAAGGTCGCGTAACTTCGCCTTTCTTTGCATGCAAACCTATTCTTTTTGTCCACTCCGTCTAAATATAATATTTCCCTTCTGCTTTTCAGAGGAAAATAAAAGAAGCAACACATTGCTCAACGTAAACGCTACTGAGTAATGAGTGTCTTGGATACTTCAATGACACTTTGTAAATATTAAACACCACCTATTAGCACCTATTTTTAAAGGTAAGTCTTACAGAAGAGAAAAATAAAAGCAGTTCCTAAATACGAACTAATAACATTTTAATATATTCCTTTTCCAACCAACTTATAAGTCGTTTATTGTTTAAGAGATGTCTTCCTCACTAGCGTGAAAACGAATTGTTGACAAGCTATTAACTAAACTTTAATGAAACGTATTAAAGAATATAATATTTTTTTTCGCAGTTATATATTTTAATCATTTTATTCGTTTATTTATTTTCCACCAAAACGTTGTCCGTCGCATGATTCCAAAAAGTAACAGGGAAAATTCGGACTGCACGTGAAGTGCTCACATTTTTGGGGCATGCGCAGAAGAGCGACAACTCAGAGGAGCGCCAAATTGACCGGGATGCGAAGGGACGCGAGGGAGGGAGGAGCGCCCCCACTGAGAGTGCCGCAGTTTAAATTAATGTCAGCCTGCCTGTTCGCAGGGAGAACAAACTCAGCGCAGACAGCGAAAGTACTCGCTCGGCTCAACCTGCTGCCTGTCCGGACTCTATCATGACTCGGCGGCCGAGAAACAGGTACGCTCAAACAGCGGGAAAACGACGCTAAACTTAGCTAATTTACTACACAACTACGCAGTTTTTGTTGTTTCCTTCTTATTTCTGCAGGATAAACTGCACGAGGTTGACGGGTTGAAAGGCGCATCTTAATAGAGCGCATGTCTTTTATTTTTTCTGTCCATATTTCTTTTTCTTTGCATGCTTTGTTTCTAACTTGTGCACTTTATTCCGTTATGTTTGGCCAGCGATGGGGCTGTGTCGCTCGCGCCAATGACAGGTGGTGGTCATCTGGCATGTGCGGTCCTCGCGCTGCTGTCACTGAGACACGCGCGCGTTAATGCCACGCGCTAGCAGGACACCGGTGTTAAATAGGAGCTAAACTGAACACAAAAAAAGACAGTAATATATACATATTATATGTTGTTGTTTTTTTTTTACTTCAAATGAAACTTCAATTTATATATTTCACATTTTATTGCTTCACGTTCTGGTGACCATTTCATCCACAGCCTGTTACTTTCGTTTTATCACATAACACGTAAAATAATCAATTGTGTCGGCTTAAAGGTCATTTTCCGCCCGCTAAAGATGAATATTTATTTCACAGCATCTCTAAAAGCGAGAGGAGCCCAGTCATTTTGGAAAGAGCGCTCGTCCTCTGCAGCGTGTGCGCTTAAAACAACTAGTTTTGTTTGTTTTTAACCACCTGTTTGGGTGGCTCTTTTTATTTTAAATGGAAATAACTTTATTTTTCTATGGTCACCAGTTTTGTCTGAGAAACATTATTCCCCTTTAGATTCTGCTGGTGTGGAAGTTCAAGTTTTTTAAGGTTATTATAAATAATGATAACATTTTAGGATTGAAATAAGTGCACAGGGTTTCACCAACTTTTTGCTGAAGTAGTTTTTAGTAGACTGATAGTTTTGAGAAACATAAAATGTTTGATTTCCTTTAAAAAATAAATTTGCATATTGTTAAAGTGATATGTTTTGTTTTACGGTTCAAGTTAAACAATTAGAGCAAATGTGTGGGATGTGCATCAGTATAGTTTTCACTGTTCAACAAGTGACACTTTTTAGTTAATGGATAATTTAAAAAAGGAAGATAATGCACAATAAATAGCATTGGGGGTTTTGTACACCTGTTCTCTTTTAGGCAAGCTACCTGCTTCCACATTCTTCAGGCTCGACAACCTGACTGGTTAACCAGCTATGAGTATGTGTGTGTGTGTGTGTGTGTGTGCATGCGTGCGTGCGTATTTGCAGGCTGTACAATACCACTGCAGGTCTGAACACGCTAGGGTCACAAAATTACAATCACATGTGCCAATCCCAGTATCTGTGGAAACCAAAAACACTAGAACCTGTTCATCCTTCTCCCTCCCTTCCTCCCCCTTCCCTCCCTCCCTTCAGGTTGCTGTTCTTCCCTTTCTCTTGCATGGCTTTCTTTCGTTCTTTTTTCTGCTTGTGGGTGTCTTGGCTCGGAGCCTGCACCCAAACCTTCAAGAATGACTGGTTCTCTGTCTTGTCTTCAACACCTGATGAGTTCAAGAGTGGGCTGATTTTTTTTAATGCACTCCTTTAAGAGATGTTTGAACAGTGATGTAGAAATAGGCAGGTGTTTATTATCTCGTTATTTGCCTAACTTTTATCTTGCAACATTATCGTCCCATGTAAACGCCATGCTTTCCTTTTTGTTGTTGTTTTTAGATTGTCATGCTCGCTCTCTGTGCTTGCAGTGTTTACAGCAGCGAGGAAGATGAGGAGGAGACAGATATGTACGAACATGACTATGATGGGTCGGTGGCCAAGACAGGGAAACGCCACCTTGGCAAAACCCGCTGGACACGAGAAGAGGTACACAAATCATTCCAAATATAAATGAACTCACCTGAACTCTCTTCTAGTTGGTGTGAATCAACTTTTATTTGCTGGTCGCCACAGTCTTAACTGCTGTTTAGAGGCTGTTTATAACACTTTAACAAACACAGTTTCTCTTTTATTCAGGATGAGAAGCTGAAGAAACTTGTTGAGCTTCATGGATCAGAAGATTGGAAACTCATTGCAAGCCTGTTAAGTGTAAGTACAGCCTGGAGGACAGACATGCACTGTTTTTTTTTTTTTTTTTGTTCCTGCTGCTTCTTTGCAAATGCCAAAGTGCTTATTATTCAGAACTGGTCATTTCCATAAAAATTAGATAACAAAAGGTGTTTCTGTTCTGAACCAATCAGAACCGTACAGATGTGCAGTGCCAACACAGGTGGCAGAAGGTTCTCAACCCAGAACTCATTAAAGGACCCTGGACCAAAGAGGAGGACCAGCGGGTAGGAAAACAAAACACCTCGGGTCACATAAGGACACTGAAAACACCGCAGCAATATAAAAACACTAATAAAATAAAGACTTATTTCCAAGAGACGCACTGATGGCTTAGTTACATTAGGAATATATTTGAAGGACTTCTTGTGTTTAATTCACCGATTGAAGGTCTGCAAGGTTCAAAAACAATTACTTTATGTTCCTGAGCGATTAAAGCAACCCCTCTGTGGCAATTCTTTGTCTGCTCTTGCACACTTTTAGTTGCTCTTACACAACATATAGCTTGTTTACTCACACAACCAGCAGAGTATTTGTTGAGCTAAATCAAAGGAGTTATATTTCCAACCAGATGCCGCTGTAATGATTAGCAGAGTGGCTAACGTTCCACTGGAAACTCCCTCACTGCTTACCAGCAGGTGTTCTCAGTCACCTCCATTAGTTGAGAAATAAAGACAAGATAGAGGCAAATTCTTGGGGAAGGGGTGAAGCATTTAATAATACAAGAAGCATTTCTAAAGTAAGTTTCTTTTTTTGTTTTTCTGTTGTATCTACCTTCCCTTTGCTTGGCATATCTTTACACACCTCTACTTCTCCCTCTCCTCCCTGATATTACTCCTTCCTTCCCCTTTCCCAATGCCCCTCTTCTCCCATTCACTTCCTTTTCAACACTCTCCTTCCTCCTCTTCCTCTTTTGCCTTTCCTCTTTTTTTTTTTATTCTTCTTTTTTCTCACCCTCATACTCGAACGCCACAGGTGATAGAGCTTGTCCAGAAGTACGGAGCCAAGCGTTGGTCCGTCATCGCCAAACACCTTAAGGGACGAATAGGCAAACAGTGCCGCGAGCGCTGGCACAACCACCTGAACCCAGAGGTGAAGAAGACTTCGTGGACCGAAGAGGAGGACAGGATCATCTACCAGGCGCACGAGAAGCTTGGGAACCGTTGGGCCGAGATCGCCAAGCTCCTTCCCGGCAGGTGAGGCAGAGAATGAAGAAGGGTTAAAAAAAGAGAAGCTGGGTGAATCACTGAACTCGATCTGGTTAGCTGCGCAACGCTGTGGTTAAGAGGCTGAAATAGAAGAGAGGTCACTTGAGCATTAATGCAAGAGAAAATGGAGATGAGGACAGGATGGTCTTTATCAAATAAAAAAGGTTTGGAATAGGATGATAAGAGACAAAGAGATAATTTTAAGATTATTGTAATTGCTTTATTCTGATAGCCTTATCAATCGCCTGCATGTGTTTGTGTGTTTGACTGAGACTTTCTCTATCTGTGTCAGCTCATGTGCGCCTGAGCTGATAATCATTACTAACCTACTCTTGGACGGGGCTGTGAGGGTGTCATGGGCGTGTTTTTTTTTGGCAAATACCCTCTCAAGTTGTGTTGTTGTTGTTTGTGACCCGCAGGACTGACAACGCCATAAAGAACCACTGGAATTCCACCATGAGGCGGAAGGTGGAGCAGGAGGGCTACCTGCAGAGCGCGCTGAAGACCGGCAGCTCCTCGCTGTCCATCAGCCACGGCTACGTCAAGTCCACCAACCACATCATGAGTTTCCCCCACCACTCACCCAATCACGCACAGCTGTCTCCCGTGTCGCCACTAAACTACACCTACATGTCTGACACACACAGAGTAAGTGCGGTAGTTGGTGGGGAACCTAAAGCAGTGCCCTTTACAGTAATTAATAAGGATGTGTTTCTGATTGGCCCATCAGGTGCCCTTCCCAATGGCATTACACCTAAACATCCTGAACATCTCCCAGCATGGAACCGCTGCCATACAAGTAAGTTTAAACAGTCATTACAAACAGTAATAATGCTTTTCACACATGAGGTATTCTTTTATTCACCCACTAGTCCCTTTTCTATCCGCGTTTGTTTGTTTTCAAGCATGCATGTAAAAATGACAGAAAGATCCATAGTGCATATGCAATACTTATTATTAGCAAATGATGAGTCCTGGGGTGTCCAATCCTGGCCCTTGAGGGCCACAATCTTGCATGTTTTACAGGTTTCTCTGCTCCAACACACCTGATTTGAATCACAGGATGACTAACAGGCTTCCATAGAACATACAGATGTAATTCAACCATTGAATCACGGGTGTTGGAGCAGGGAAGCAAGTAAAACATGCAGGATGGTGGCTCTACAGGGTTGTCAAACCCACTTACAAAAGGGGGCCAACATTAAAACCTTTTTCAAACTAAGGACAGGTTTCAGACTCTACATTAAGTCAAGTTAGATACCAAACATCTTTTCTTGGTTGCATGTTCCTCAACAAGAGTTTGATTGGTCTCATTTGACGTTCTCTGTTACACTTTTGACATCATAATCAAAGATTACTGAAAAAAATAAAGTATTTTACATTTAAAATAACATCTTGGGGGCCAGACAAGATGTCAACGAGGGCCACATTTGGCCCCTGGGCCTTGAGTTTGGCACATATGTCCTAGAGGACCAGGATTAGACACCCCTTAGGACAGTAGATAAAGTATTGAGTTGCCTAAACATAATTATTTGAACATAATTAAACTTATTGAACAATTAGTGTTAACACTGAAGATTCAGCAGCAACAACACCATCCTGTTTTGCAGTAAAATAAAATCCCGAGCTGAGCAGTGTGTTGAAACAGCCGTTATAATATTTGTTAAATGATCAGACCTAAAGCAGATCAAACACTTTCAATACCCGTTTGACCTCATTCTTTATGATTTAAACGAGGACATGATCGGTGAAACGTACTCACTGCTGCTGCCTGCTTGTTAAAGTGGGTGCATAGGTTCATCGCTTGTGTCTTGTCGATACAGGTCCAACCTTGCCCAAAATGTGTCAAATAATTTTGCACAAAAGCATCAAGGGGTAATTAAGTCATGACATTGGCATGTTAAAATGCCACCATAATGATGGAAAACAGTGCATGTGTGTGAAAGAGGCCAAGAAAAGCTTATTGCAAGGCAGGAAATCACTAATCTATTCCTCCTACGCTCTCCTCCTGTTAGAGACACTATAGTGAGGAGGACCCTGAGAAGGAGCAGAGAGTGAAAGAGATCGAACTGCTGCTCATGTCGACAGAAAACGAGCTGAAAGGCCAACCAGCACTACCAGTAAGTAAAACCTCTGTCTGGGCTCCAATCAAATAATAACTAAAAAAAATAAGCATGACAGCACAATTTATGTTCTGGTGTTCTCGACCCGGCCTTTAAGGACAGTTGTGTGAATAAGGAGGAGGAAACATCTGGGGGGTCTGTTTCTGCAAAAGTGATGAAACAGGACCTTATCACTATTTCTCTGTGTGTGTGTGTGTGTGTGTGTTTGTGTGTGTGTGTGTGTGACCCCTTGTGCAACCCTCTCCTACTCAACACTTCTGTTGCTCTTTAATAATATAAAGTTCCCTTTCTTCTTTTCTTTTCCTCCTTTCTTAAATGCCTTTCACTTTTCTCTTGTTTACATCTTTTACTTTACATCACCCTCTAACATGCATTTCTGACCTCTCCCCACTCTAGATGAATTTGAATTTTCCGAGCTGGGCCAGTCAGAGCTCTGTGGTCAGCAGCTCGGATGGTGCAGCGATGTCTTTACCTCATCATCAGGCAGCCGCCCCGGCCCTGCCTCACGACCAGAGCTGCCTGCCGGAGGAGAGCGCCTCAGCAACACGTGCCCACAGCAACAACACAAGCAGCAGCAGCAGCAGCCATCACAGCAGTCCAACATTCTCAAATACGTCTCCAGACTTCATGGAATCCGTCATCGATTTAGTAAGTTTCTGCATTATATGATACATTATGACAAACTGCAAAAGTAGCAAAAATTGTTTTTTTTTTTTTTTAATCTCTAGTTTTGGGTCTTGACCCATACTTTACCGCCCTCTTCCCAGAGCCTGTCCTTAGCGGGTGAGGCCTTTAGCAGTCACTCCTTGGATAGGAGTGTTCAAAACACAGGCAAGGTCTTGCCCAATCAGAGTTCAAAAACTGCTCGTAGAGCATTTGCTGCTTTCACCTGCTCAGCCCCCAAGTCTTCAGCCGTCAGAGCACTACCATTTTCACCCTCGCAGGTAGTTTAAAGCACCTGAGCATGATCAGAACCCATCCCATCACCAGCCTGCCCTCTGACAACACCAACAACCAATCATGTAGTGATTCTTTAGCTGGTCACCTCCAAATTAGTTTTTATCTTTCCTCACTTCTGTTTTTTTTCCCCCTTTTTTAACTTTAATCTTCCAGATTATTGCAAGCAAAAAACAAAAAGTGATTGCTTCTCCTTCTGTTTGTTTCAGTTTCTCAACCAGTCGATGAGCTCAGAGCACTCTGACGACAGTTTACGAATGAGCATGCCTGTGGACTCCAAGCCTCTCATCGACCACTCTGTCAGGCCTCAGAAGGAGAACGAAATGTAAGACCCCTTATCTCCTATTATTTCATGATGCAGCTTTGTTTGATGCAGCGGCTCCCAAACACTGATCACATTTCTTACCCCAGATTCCGAACTCCGAACATCCGCCGATCAATCCTCGAGTCGAGTCCGTGCACGCCCACACCATTCAGATCCAGTCTGGCTTTTCAGGAGGCCAAGTACGGACCCCTCAAACTAATGGTAGGAGCCCCTAAAATTAAAATTCTTAAATATGTCCCTTCAACTACTGTTGTGCCCTTTGAGTTCATTAGGGTTGTTGTGATTTTCTCCAGGGTACAGCTTTGGAGCAGCAGATGGCTGTGTCTATCAAGCAGGAGCCGATGGAGTGTGCCATTGACCAGCCTCCTCTGAAGAAGATCAAACAGGAGGTACTTTCCACACAGCAGAAGCACATACAGATGTGACAAAGCTACAGACTAATGTGAGACTTTAGTATGCATTTTGTGAAAACAAAGGCCCGGCAGAAAATTAGTTTTATTTCCCTTTGCAACCGTGAAAACAAACGTAAAAACAATTGGAGCTTATTTAGTTTTGCAAAGTGTTTATGATTAACATATAGATTTCACTTGCACTGTTTGGGGCTGTTGTACTGTAGCTAAGTTCATATGACCCACAAGAGCCATGCGTGACCTTGATGTGCTTTGGGTCTAAGGTGGAGTCCCCACGTGAGAGGAGCCCCTGCATGCAGTGGGAAGGACAGGAACTCAACACACAACTCTTCTCCCCCAACTCCTCTGCACAGGAAGTACCTGTAAGTCCATCTTTGAGCTTCTGGTGGTGTAACGCCAGCCCAGTCTTTTGTAATTCACATCTTAATCTTAAAGGAATAGTTTGAAGCTTTCAAAATTAGGTTCTGTGCACAGGCTAGGAACAAATAATATCTCACCTGTTGAAGATAATTGTTTGTACAGCCTCATTTTGAAGAAATAAAGTTGAATTCTGAACAAACCAATTGGCTAACAACTAGTTTGAGTCGGATCAAAGCAGAAATCTGCCATCTTTAGACAACTTTAATCTATAAAATTTTATAGAGGTCCATGTAAACCCTATTTATAAACCTTTATACCACCGTCAGTTTTGTATTACATGGATTTCTGTGGGTAACTAAAGTGAAAATAACGGCTGTGGCAGCTAGTTGTAGCAGTTCTTGTGGCACTTCCTGCAGGAATATTATACATTTAACATAAAATTAAAGTGGTGTAAAGGTTTAAACAATAGTGTTCCCATGAAACCTTTGGAGATTTTGTATGATGGAAGCAATCCATTTTGGTTTTGACTAGCTGTTAGCTCATTGATCTGGTCAGACTTAAACTATTTCTCAGAATTAATGTCAAAGAACTATCCACAAAATGTAAGCTATTATTTGTTCATAACCTTTCCACAGAATTGCACTTGAGTAAATCTAAACTACCAATTTTACTTTAAATTAATTGTTTTGCACCTAATATTTATGGAACATTTATCTGATTTGTGTAAAAACAAATGTTTGATTATTTCACTTCACAGGATCTGCTCACGAGCTCATTGCTGAGTGATGAGGGACACAAAACCTACCACGTTCCTCACAGAGGCATGCACAGCCCACTACAGGTAGGCGTGGCGATGTTTGTGTTTATACAAGTTCCTAATATACTAATACTGTTTCGTGTTGACTCTTAAAAACTCACCAGGTTCTGTGTCCTTTCAGCAGCAGCTGCAGCTCAGTTCCTGGGAGCAGGCGACCTGTGGGAAAACAGAGGAGCACGCCTCAGAGCAGAGCAACAAGTACATCAACACTTACCCTACGAGGACACTGGTGATGTAGACAGAGACCGATCTGGAAACATCAACGCTCGCTGCGCTGGACACGGCGTCGCAGGTTTCATTTTTGTTGTGGTACAACAGTTGGGAGAGGCTTCACGCCACCAGTGTTTTTACACTTAAACTTGTTGGATTTCAACCAGCAAAAAACTACATCTTCAAAAAAAACCAAAAAATCTGATTCGGGTTTTTCTTTCTCTTTTGGTCCAAACAGTTTATTAACGTAATTGTTGTATTATATAAATGGGGGAAGGGTGACTATGTTTGCATTGGGGCTGTATTATGAGTTACAAATTTTGATATTAATATAAAGAACAGGTTAATTTATTGGTTTGAATTTTTCGTTTGTTTGTTTCTTTTTTTTGATCATGACTCTTGTTGTTTTACAATTGACCAGCTGATCAGTGTTGTCATTTTTAAGTATTTAAGCCCTGTTAGCATTATCATGTACCCAAAAGCATAGTAATGATTTCAAAACTGACCTCTGAATTTTACTCCTGAACTGTTTCACTGTTCTTTTTTTTTTCCTGGGTTTTCAAAGCCTGTTTGGGTCTACTGGAAATTTCAACTCATGGAAACACTCAATATGGACCAAGATGTCTGTTCTTACATCATTCAATACTAAAATCAGGCCAGCCGTACTAGTATTACCTTTATTTCATCAAAATTGAGTTTTCATTTCAAATTGCAAGTTATTCGTGGCCTTTACATTATCCTTTACTGGGAGACATTGATGAACAAATGGTTATATATATATATAAATATATATATATAGGGGAGACAATGGAGAAAAGACAAAAGATTACACTATATACATTTCAAAATCTGAAATGAGCTTCATTATTTGAAACCAAGAGCTTCACCCTGTAAGAGTAAAACCAAGCTGCACTTGAATTTTATATTTTTAAAAAGTAGAGAGTAAACACTGATGTTTTTTAATATCATACTACAGACAAAATCCCAGTATAACCTTTTGTATCATTTTTAAAAGATGTTCTTAAGATAATTTTGTACTGTTTTGTACTTTGTCAGCATTTTGTTTTGCAGACTTCAGTAACCCACATCGAACACAGCAGACAATCATTTTATACTTGTTTTGATACAAGCTTTTTTTTATTTTTCAAATACAAGCATTTATAGATGACACGTTTTCATGTTTTTATACTTTTCTATACTGCCGAGCAAATAAAGTGTGCTGTTTTTATTACAACCTTGTGTTCTGTGATGTTTTGGTGTAAAATAAAGAAAACGACAGCATGTTAAGGTTTATGTGGTGCGATAAGGAATTCAAAAGCTGTCATAAAAATATTTTCATGTGTTTAAGTTGTAAGATACTGTTAAGTTTATAATTGGCACGATGGAGCCATAAAGTTGTCTGCAGTGAATGCCGTATCTCCTCCCCGGTGGAGGAACCTATCAGTAGTATTCAAATACTGTACTTTTATCACTCCCCGGCCGACACAAAGGTTTGTTGTCATAAAATCCTGCAGTTCACGTTATAAAACTTTCTCTTCATCAATCTTTCTCTAAAAGGTTGGATAGTTTGTTATCCAGTGAAGGAAATAGGCAAATGTTCCCAACTGTTGCGTCTGTTTTTAGGACATGGGGGGTACCGCTTGTACATGTGCCAGAAGCAAAACACTAGTTTAACTATGCTAAGTTTCTTCACACATACTAGTCACACGTGTGTGTATATGTGTTCTGTATACAGCTACCATTTAAAAACGTGTTCTCAAACCTATGAACGCCATGTTCCGTCTCTTGAGGGGACTGTTTCCTGTGAGGGCTGTAGCAAACCAGAGGGGGCCCTGACTCAGACCAGGAGCTATATTTACAGCCCCTCCCCTCCAGGTTCCTACATCCTCCCCATCCCCCTGACTCCCTTCTACAACCACCTGCATCCCCAACCCCCCCCATGGTTTGCCACGCTGCCCTCAAATATAGATTCCTGTCTCAAGTTGTGTAGTCTCAGAGGGACATGACAGGCAACGAGATGGATGCGTCTCAAAGGAATATTTAAAGAGATAGTTCAGATTCTTTGAGCCTGGGTTCTGTTGGAAGATTATGAACTAACAATGTTGTGTCTGTTGTAGATAGTTTTTTATTTATTTTATATTTTATATAATCTCAATTTGCAGAAATTGACTTTAATTCCGACGAGAATGACAAGCTAAAAGCTAGTCCGAGACCATGACCAGCTGCAGAAAGAAAAGCTTTGCAGAGAGTGGTGAAGGCTGCACAGAAGTCTGTTGGAGTCAGTCTCCCCACCATCACAGATGTCTACACCTCCAGATGCAGGAAGAGGGCCACCTGCATCATGAAGGACATCACACACCCAGCACACACACTTTTTGCCCTGGTCCCCTCAGGCAGAAGGTTGAAGAACATTAAGTGCAGAACCACCAGGCTGAGGAACAGCTTCTACCCTGAGGCTGTTAGACTCATGAATCTCTAACCAGGAAAATCATTGTGAAAGAAATCACTGTAATGCCACTTGATATGTGCTGACTATCCATGATGCTGATCTCATGCTGCTGATTCTTTCATGTTGCTGTATTCATTAGTCCTCATCTGCTCACATGCACTCATGTTCGTGCTGCTATTGTCTTGTCGTATTGTTTTTGTACTATTAGTGCTTAGTGTATTCTTAGTTTTGTGTATTCATAGTTTAATGAATGCAGTATATTCTTAGTTCATGTCTTGGATCTTACTACTGTTTTTCTTTACAGTTTGTATTTTTGTTGGACATAACTGGGACCTTACGTACATAGTTTTGTTCCACCTCATGTACCACATGTGATGTGAATGACAATAAAAAATTCTTGAATCCTTGAATGTGAGACTTTAAAAATGTCAATCAGATATTTCATTTTGGTTCTTCTTACATAGGTCTTTTTATAAACCTTTACATTGCTGCCAGTTTCACTTTGTGAAATTATTTACATGGAATCCTATGGTTGTTAGCAAGCCCAAATAATAGCAAAACCAGACCTTTTCTTGGATTTTTCTTTAGTTAAATTTTTTTGTTTTTGGTCCTCCTCCAACCAGCAGTGAGGTCGTCAGTGTGGTTAGAACTGTGTTCCTCTAAATAACACAGTACATATGTGCAAAAGCCATCAGTGCTATGTGGCAGCTTATTTACTGCCAGCATGGCAGCAGAGCAGACCAGTGATATCTGAAGAGAACCAAAAACTAAACCCAGCCAACAAATGCAGCTTTAAATTTAAATTTTTATTTTCTTTGCTATTACCAGTCTAATACACAGTATTCAAATCTGACTCCAAAAATACAGCATGGAAGCACCTGTAAACATGATGTTAATGCTTCACTTTTGTACAACAAATGTAGACTGGGATGCATTTGTCCATATTTACAGTCATTATTCCAAACCAAGGATATATAAGTAAGATATTAATTGCTTCACATTCTCAAAACCTAATTTCAAAAGATCTGAAGTTCCCTTTAAGGGGTGTCAAACTCTGTAACAAAAGGGTGCTAAAGTTAAAAACATGTTTCAAACCAAGGGTCAATTAAGTCAAAACATTAATTCCAGTCGAATATCTGACATCTTTTCTTGGTTACAGGTTCCTCAACAAGAGTTTGATCACTCTCATTTAGCATTCTCTGATGCGTTTCTATGTTAAAAATCTAAGATTACTGATAAATTCAAACTAATTTCAAAGGTTCAAAGCTACAAAGTTGTCCAACTATCATGAGAAGTCTGCCCTAAGTAAAGTAAGCTCATTGTTTAAGCAAAATGAGAAGCAATAAATCTATTTTACTTTTAAAATATCATCTTGGGGTCCAGAAAAAAATGTTGACAAGGGCCATATTTGGCCCATGGGCCTTGCATTTGTGTGTGTTTCTCAGGGCAAGGGTTCAGAACAAGAAGCAGACTTCCACATTGGGAATTTCACCATCATCTGCTTTAACCTAAGAAAACTAATTAAAGGAAAGAAAAATACATATTTATAAAAAGTCACAAAACCCCACGAGAGTCACAAACACCTGCTTCCACTGACTGAGAAGGCAGCTGCGTCTGTGTGTGTAAGTGTGTGTCGAGAGGTCGGTGGCTTATTGACAACAACAATACAAGCTCAACTGGATAATGCCAGACACATCATATGAACATTCAACGGTTCTTTAGAGCTCACTGACTGGACTGAAAGCTCAAACATCTGGAAAAAAATATGATAAATGTGACAACATTAACAAAACAGTCATTAAGAAAAAGATAAAAACAAAACTTTGTACGCTGTTTCATTAATATCTTCAACTTTTCTCTGTCTGAAACAGGTCTCTCTTGTAAATGAGTCCTTGAAGTTCAATGGGAGCTAAACTGTATAAATAAAGTTTGAATGAAAAAAAAAAACTTTATTGCACTGCATTGATATCATATTTCATTACAGGAAATTAAGACATATTTTAAAGTAAATCGTTCCACAAAATGCAAAGAAGAAGTTCAGTTTTGCTACAAGTACTTTTTGATTCCATCCTGCTTTCCCTTTTCTTAAATTAAACCCAACCTGTCGCAAGAAGATTGGCCCATAAATTCAGTTTGAGTGTCACAATAGTTTTATAGCCGGATGTTGCAGAAATGGCGGGCTCCCGAGTGTGCCTAAGCATACAAAACACACTCATGCTGATGAACTGGGGGTCTGCAGCGCTGACTGGTCTGATTTCCTCATTCCCTGGCTGCTGTTGTGGTCACAGATATTCAGGCGAGGGCAGCCGCTCCCTGCTGGCAGCGGTCAGGTACGGAGGGCCTGGCTGGGCTGGGCGAGCCTGATAACTAGCTGCCCTCCTCCGTGCTATAGAGACGGAGAGCAAAGAAAAAACAGGAAACAAGTGGTGAACAGAAAGAAAAAAAAGCCCAGTTAGTTAGAAATATAGTGTCATTCTGTGTTTGCATCACAGCTAATACCACAAACACTAGGCTAAGTGACTTACAAAGAAAAAGAGAAAAATACACAACTTGTCTTGCTTTAAAACGTTTCCATTCACTGACAATAAAATGCGTAGCTTTGATTTTCCATCTAATGTAAAACAGTAATAAAGCTGTGTTTGTTTGATTAGTCACACACAACAAATCTGATAATCCCCCATCTTTAAGTCAAACCTGATTTATAGAGCCATTGCACTGATGTCAAAACCGCAGAGTACCGGAAA